CCCGAAAATGATACCCATATTGAATTTATTTCAAAAGTCGTGACTGCCATCTTGGATCTAGAAATAAGTGCGATATTCGTAATTAGCACCCCCAAATAATCATGTACTTACTAATTTCATCAAACGTAACGTCCTTTCCAGCTTTCTACCAAACTTGCAAAAACATTTCAAAAATATAAAAAATTTAAGCAGCATTATTATTACAAATTCGTTCGAGTTATGAATTCTGAGTGAACTTGTACTTGTGCCATCTTTTGAGCACTTTGAGAACTACGTAGTAAAAACGTGACAGCGAAATCAGCTGTTCATTGACCACGACGCCATTTTATTCCACTTAGTGTATTCATTGTCGCACAGAAGCAATGATTTCACCGATTTTAATAAAATTGTTTTTGAAATGATTACAATTATCTCATCATTGGCCTTTAAGCGTTAATTTTGGTATATGCGATAATTAGGAAATTTTTTTATTGGAAATGTAATATATACATAAAAGCAGCCGCAGTGACGAAAACATCTAATTTAGTTTGTATTGAAATGGATCGTGACTTTCCCCCTTAATACAATTCTCCCAAGTTAAAGAAAAACATAACTGAACATAACATGCAACTATGAATCCATAGCACGCTTTAAAGCGTCTATGGTGGTTGAAAGGTTAAAAGTGCCTTTTTGCTTAGTAAGCGACTTGCGTGAGGCCGATTCCATTGAAATTAAAATTTTAATAGGTTTGTAAGGCAAATTCTCCAAATTAATATTGGTCCTAGCTTTATAAAAAGATGAATTTTTGTTGTTATAATGTTGTTTGGTGTATTAATAATTGACAACCTCCATGGATAAGTTTTCACACACCGGTTTCCATATTGTAGCCGTCTCTGAGGCCCCGGATTTGATCCGATTTGTATATTGACCGGCCGGGTCAATGTAGAAACTAAATTTTTTAATATTGTTTTGGGTCTGGGTATTTGGACTCTGACACATAAACATGATACCCTACACATACGACGTCGCGTCGTCGTATAGTGTTTATGTGTAAGAGCCCTTTGTGGTACCATTGTTGGTTCCAATTTCCATCATGTGCTTTAGTTATTTACTTTCGGATCAAAGCAATGTAAGTTGCTTAATATTTATTTATTGTTACATCATGAAACATATTTTCTTTTTGACCGACCTCAAAATAAAGGAGGAGGTTCTCAATTCAACTGTATTCTTTTTTATGCGTATGTTACACAATAACTCATTGCGTGCATTTGTGAACTGGTTTTGAAGATTCTTTTTTTGTTGGAAAGAGGATACCTCAGTATCAGTCCCATTTCAATTGAAGAAAATATTCCACCTTCAAGAGTGGCAAACCAGAGATGAATCCAGTTTAGTGCACTTTTCAGTAATCAATTACAATGAAACAAGTTTTAACCTTTAATTCTTCATTCATGAACTTTTAAGGTCAGTTTTTTTTAGTACTCTGTATTGATTTTATTTATTTCTTTTTTTTATCCCAATACCAAGTGCTGAGACTAACAAGTTGTGCACCTGGTGGTCAGCGACACACCTACCCATAGCAGTTGCAGTGCCACGCAGAGCTTAAATCGCAAAGATCTTAGTGGTACTGCCGCTGCACCCATCACCTTGAGACATAAGTTGACAAGTCCCATGTGCCTGTAATTTGACCAGCACTTTTACCCTTCAAAACTGGAACACAGCAATGCTGACATTACTGCTTGGCAGCGGAAATAGGTATGGTGGCAGTACTTCGTTAGGCACTCTGTCACAAGGAGCTCTACTGCCAATAAATTTTCATATACATTGTGACCTACAGAATCTAGATTTGGATCTACACCCTCCCATTAAAGCCTTGTGCCCAGAAAGCGTAAATATTTGGGTTGTACTGTATAATACAGTACAGAAAGTTTATTGATCTGTTTTTACCTTCCAATATTTCGCATCCGCATCTTAGCTTCTGCAGGCATCTCTTCAGGTTCTTCATCATCATCATCATCAGTGTTGAAAACAGAAGCTACCGAGGGCTTTGGCACCACAGCTTTGGTAGTGTTAATGCTCATCTTAATTGGAGCCTTAGGTTTTGTGAACCCAATGGATATTTTACTGATGCGGGGCGGTGGTGGCGGCTCCGGTACTTCTTCTGGCTCACGAGTATCCCATTTTGTATACTTTTTACCTTCAATTATATAAGAAGAATTAGCTAGTATTTTATGTTTGACAAAACCATAATAAATTACAACACGAATGCTCTCACCGTCATATTCCTTGTCTCTACTGCTAGAGGACCTACTTGAGGACCTTTCAGGGGAGCGTTTCTTCCTTGAATTGGAAGGCGAATTCTGATGAGGAGATCTCGACCGGGACCTCGACAGTCGTCGTTCCTTTTCATCCCATTCTCGCTCCTTATACGTCCTAGAATCATCACGCGTGGATCGAGACGACCCTGCCAATGTGAAAACACTGGCAAAGATAAATAAAGGCACATTTTATTAGAAGAAAGTATAAAAATTAACAAGCTGTCGCAGTGGAATGCGATTTACTGAAATTTACGAAATTTTTCAAGCCACTCGAATACCTTTGTCGTAGTCGTAGTAACGACCGCTCATTCTGAATTCAATTTGTACAACTTTTGGTCCATTAATTACGAGATTACTGCTGGAAAAACGATTTTTTCTGCATTGCTTCTACGACAAGACGGCAGCCATTTTTAATTTTTTTTCTGCGTCATTTGACGCGTTTGTGTGGCACGGGCATTGGCAGCACTTTATCCAAATACCTAATTGAGCGGGCTGTGAGTATAATATCATTGGGGCATTGTGGCCGTGCACTGCTGGCAAAAGCGGTAGTGTAGTTATGTGTAGACATACTTAAGGTTCGTATTCTAGAACTCTACTCACTGCTCAAGTCAGGACTTGAGTATGATTCAAAGAAATCATACTCAAGTCCTTGCCATTAGGGTCGTATTTCCAGTACTTCATATCATACTCAAGTCTGCTCAAATCCTGACATGAGCATTGAGTACAGTTCTGGAATACGACCCTTAATGTTATTGTGTATTGTTAATTAGTCACACTCAATTTTCGATTAACCGCAAATTGTTAACATATTTCTTTCTCTGTCTTTTTAGCCAATAATAGTAATTTTTATAATTTTATTAAACTGTACCTTGTGATTACAGTTGACATTATTTATATAGGGTTGGCTACATAGTGTATGATCTATGGTCGGTTATTTGACGTTTGTTTGTAGGTTATTTAGACGGCTTATCTTATCTAATGGATCTTCCGCGAAAATCCTTTTAATTTCGAAATTAAAATATACGTGCTTCATTACAATAATGCTATTTGTTCCACGAAGCTACCATTTAATCAAGTTAGTTAGTAGTCCTTTGTACAGAAAATGTCGTTGTTACTCGGATGTTGCCCGTTTCACTTCAATGAAGGATAAAGTGAAAAATGGACCAGGCTTAAAGGAATTTATTATTGGAGACTCTGAAACGGTTCTTACTGGACGTCCACATATACCATACTTGCCGGAAAATGTTGAAATTGGTTCCAAAAGAAAAGTTTATTTTGATGTGTACGGGTGTCAAATGAACCTTAGTGATACCGAGATCGTGTGGTCTATTCTGAAGAACGAAGGATTTGAGAAAACGGAAATTGAAGATGAAGCTGATATCTTCTTAGTTATGACGTGTGCTATCAGAGAGGGTAAGAGGTTTGTTTATATATACTTTATAACAACAAGTTGAAAATAATTACATAAGTGCGTTTTGTTTTTCTAAACCTGCTATAAATGCTGTTAAGCTAACACAGCTATCGAATTCAACTCTTACCATGTCAGTGACGTCATTGGTCTCTTATTGCTTCTTACAAAGGCAACACACAAGTTAATTGTGTACCAAGCTCTGCAATTAAGTAAAAATGTAAATTGTTGTTGTAGCCTATTTCCTTCAAATACCATATAATTCCCTCTTTTTTTCTCAGGAGCAGAAAGTAAAATCTGGCACCGCCTTGACCACTTGCGGGGCTTTAAAAGACGACGATCTTTGAAGAACAAGCAGAGACCTGTTAAGATTGGTATATTAGGGTGTATGGCAGAGAGGTTAAAGGAGAAGCTCATTGAGAAAGAGAAGGCTGTTGATGTTGGTGTGTTTATTACATCTGCTTAATAATGACTCCTTCAGTAGCCCAACTATTTGAACTGTAGAAGCTGGATGATAAATGAGGAGGTCTCAGGTTCGATTGCCGGGTATGACCAATTTGAGAAATGAACTGTTCTAAACTGGTTTTGGTTGGGGTTCTGGGTACTGCCTCTGAGTTAATTCTATTGTTCTGGTACTAGTTCAGCAAATTACCTAGTTTGACATCATGTATTTGGTGTGGTTGTCTGATATATATTATTTTTATTAATAACAAACAATATTATTGTTATCTAACAAATTAGATACAGTTTCGAAAATGAACTGTGTAAACAAAGTGAACTCCACTAGTTTCCACATCTGTCTTAAAGAGGATGGTGAAAGCTGCCCCAATAATGACCAAAAGCTGTTCATGGACTTTGTTAGTATCATGTTGCGTTTTAGTTTATGCCTAGTTATCAATATATTTTTGTATATTTTTAGAAGTCGGGAATAAAAAAAATGTAAAACATTGTATTTTAGCCTATGCTAATAATAATGCATCTATATGCAAGAACACAACACAATTGATTCAGTTCCACCATAGATTGGGTAACATTCTTGTACATATGTTTCATTTTAAGCATGATTGAATGTTTACCTACCTGAAGTATTGGTTATTTTATACCTAATGAAATAATAAATTAAACAGTAATGAAATAAAGCACAAAATACAACACAATTTGACAAAAATATTTCGACAATATTTAAATGAGAGATAATGAAAGTTGCATTCTTCTTTATTTATTAGTGGCTTGTTTTGTATCTTTCACATTTCAGCCAATGTCACGTAGGTAGCCTCTACACGGGAGGAGTGGATTTGTTTTCAAATATAATTTTGACCCTTACTGCTGTCTGTGAGACTCGAAGCGGGTTTGTCTAAAACAAAGCACACAGTTGCAACATCACAGGACAACACAAAGCACAGCCTAATAAAACAGGGTTGTTATTAAACATTTTAGGTATATTAATGAGTTAATGCAAGCAGTGTAGTTTTAGATAGGGGTTATATAAGAAATTAAAAGTAAATAAACAATTAGATAGAATAAAAAAAGGGAAAAAACAAAAAAAGGTAAACATTTTACAATTTTAATTGGTTAATAGCCAAAAATTTTTTTTAAATTTTAAAAGGGGAGGGCTTGGACAATGAAAGTTGCAAAGGAACGTTTTAACAAGAGACCCTCTTGTCAATGTCAATGTCACATTGTTATTGAGTACAGTGTGACCATTTGTAGCAGATTTTTATTCATTTTCATTGCTGCAGAACATGATAAGTTATTTTAAATGTGGCAGAGTTTGGCAGATTTGGGAATATTCGGGAAGTTCTTTATTATTTTTGGGAACAAATTGAAAATTTGTTGTTTTCTGCTACTATGAACAAACATCTGAAGTGAAATACAGGACAATGTTATAAACATAATCTATATCAACTTTATAACCCCAGCTTCTACAGGCTGTACTCAATTAGCTTTTATGATGCTTTGATAATGAATCACGAGGATTGTTAGGTCTCCTTAATGCACGTCATCAAAAACATTGGGTCATAAAATACACGGGATGTCGCCGTCCTTCTTTTGGAATTGTGTTCAAGTTAATGCAATTTATGCCTTCATTGAAAGCAACAGTCAATCTGCAGAGCAAATGTTGCATGTGATATTTCTAGACTGTAAAGCCAAGGACTGTCTCTGGAAGCAAGTCAATCCCTCATCAGGATAATTACTTGGCTCATATTTATTTATAATACTAATTTTCTAATTTCAGTGGCAGGTCCAGACAGCTACCGTGACCTGCCCCGTCTTCTAGCTCTCACAAACGGTGGCCAGACTGCAGTAAATGTACTGCTTTCACTAGATGAAACTTATGCTGATGTTGTGCCCGTCAGGTTGAATGAGGATAGTGTGTCTGCTTTTATGTAAGTTAAGTATAATAAAAGAATAAGTAATATGACTTTGAAAATGGTAGTGTAACGCATTTATTCACACAGTATTGGTATTGGTATTGGTGCAACGGGCTAGTTTCCGCAACTCGACGTCGAGGCGCCTATTTTGCGTGTTATTCACACGATATATTGGCTTGCTAATCTATAAGCAATAATAATTTTATTAAGTATCATGATGTTTTTGCTACCATGATATTCCTTTTTTAACAATCGAACAAAATGTGACGATGCTGACTTTCTTCATCACCATCCTACCATTTCATCACCCTCTTCACTGGTTCCTGACCACTTTTAAATTTTTGAATTATTCTCGAATGCCTTTTTCCTTTCACTATTCTGACGTAGGTTTGTTCCATCATCACCCACATCAAAATTTTCAAAACGAGATGGCATGGTCATGTATCACCCTCATGTAAACTCCTGAACTTCACGTGATTTACTGTTTTTAAATCATTAGATAATGTATATAGGCCCCCTTGGGGTAAGTAATTGTCTGGACTGTTTAGTAGGAAGTATTTTATACTGGTTGACGGGACAAACAAGTCGTGTGCCTGGTGGTAAGCTACACGTCTGGCCAATACAGTTGCTGTGCCACTCAGAGCTTTAAATCGTAAAGATTTGAGGGGCACTGCCACTGCGCCAGTCACCCTGAGACAAGTTGACAAGTCCCATGTGCCAGTGACTTCACCAGCAACCTTACCCTTCAAAACTGGAACAAAGTAATGTTGACACTACTGCTTGACGGCAGAAATAGGTAAGATGGCAGTATTGCCCTGGACGAACCCTTTGACAAGGAGCTCTACTGCTTCTAAATTATTATCATTTTATTCTTTTTCTTACAGCCTTTCATTTTTGTTTTGTAGTCATTAATAAATTTATCTGGACCGAGCCTATTTCTCTTTTCGTTATGGTTTGGCCCCAAAATACAAAGAAAAATTCTTTTTATCTAACTACATGAATCAGAGTCTGTTGCCTCACCGTCGCTATCACTCGTACCAACGGAATTACAGATCGAATAGTCAGTGTTCGATTTTGTGTATCATAATAATAATCTGTACACATTCAAGTAAATTTTGATGTATGTGTGCTATTGTTTGTTGTATAACTTTGTCACAATCTAGTAAAATCTGAAAGAGTTATCAGATGTCTTGGTCAAGGACAAGTTCTGAACAAAACTTATTTTACAGCTCAATAATGCGTGGTTGTGACAACATGTGTACATATTGCATAGTGCCATTCACGCGAGGCCGCGAGAGATCGCGCCCAGTCTCCTCAATAGCCGAAGAAGTGAGGCAGTTAGCTGACCAGGGAGTGCGAGAAGTGACGCTATTGGGACAGAATGTCAATAGTTATAGAGACGTGTCACAGCACTCTGATAAGCTTGACACACAGTTAGCTAAAGGTAAGATACTATATTATATGGTTATGCTTTTAATTGTCACCTTCATTCTATACTTTCAATCTTTTTAATCATTATTTTTATTTGCTTTGTTTTTGATCATTGGTATTTCTTAATTTATCGGCCTCGGTAACGGTAAGACAGAGGGTGCGAAGAATCCCCGGGTTACGGAAGGCTGCCACAAATTGACCTTGGCAACGTATAACGGACGCAGTCTACGGCTGAACGAAAGTTTGATGCAACTCGAGGTGGAACTGGAGAAAATAAGGTGCCATGTGATAGGGTTGTCTGAAGTTCGAAGACAGGGGGAGGACACGACTACTCTAGAATCTGGCCACCTGTTCTAATTTCGAGAGGGCGACCAACTATCCTAAGGAGGGGTAGGGCTCCTTGTCTACAAAGTTCTCCGTGACAACGTGCTGGAGGTATCCAGTGTATCGACCTGGGTAGCATACCTTGCCCTTCAAGCTAACCGTGAGATATTCTCTCATGTTGTACAGGTATATGCGTCGACGTCGACATATTCGGACAGTAAGGTCGAAGCCGTGTACGAAGACGGGGAAAGGCTCTACACAACACCACCAAGATCCACTTCACCGTTGTTATGGGGGACTTCAATGCCATAGTGGGAGTGCGCGAATGCGAGGAATCGTGCATCGGACAACACGGTATTGAACGGCGAAACCAAAGGGGGCAAATGCTGGTAAATTTCTTGGACATGCAGGGGCTGTTCTGCATGAACACTTTCTTTAAGAAGAAGCCCCATAGGAAGTGGATCTGGCAAAGCCCCAATGGTACGACGAAGAACGAGATCGACTTTATCTTGACGGACAAGAGGCAATAGGTTTAATATCGGTAGCGACCATAGACTCGTAAGAGGTACCCTAAATATCGACTTCAAGGTCGAGAGAAACCGTATGATGAGATCTCTTTTTCGCCCAACACTGCTCCAAACCATGCATGGCTCCGAAGCGTTCCAGTTGGAACTGAGTAATCACTTCGCTTTGCTGGAGACCACGGCAAATGTTGACGAGGTCCTTGAAGATGGGGTAGGGGTAATTCGCGAAGAGGGAATTAGGCACTTCAGAACACAGCGAGGAGCCCGAAAGTTCCAAACCCTAGACTGACACTCTGGAATTGACGAGGACACGACGCGAGACGCCAGAGGAAGCTTCGTCAGATGTCCGTTGTCTCAACAAAACCATCCGTCGCTTCAATACGCAAGTCATGCGAGAAGCTATTGAGAGGAATCGGGGGGTCGAAAGTCTTTACAAAAAGGCTGGGTAGATTTCAACTGACGAAGCTAAATACCTAGGACGGTAAAACTGTCACATCAGTTCTAGAAATTCTCGCAAGAAGTCGAGGACTTTTACAGAAATCTATATGCCTCGTGTGCTCCAAAGCCACCACCCAATGCGAACATAAATATTTACTAAAATATTACCAAAAATCCTTCTTATAAATCTTTTGTATGTGTTCTAAACTCTGAACTGTTCAAGTCTTATTCATAACTCAATGTCTTCTACTCTACTCAACTTCACCGATATAGTTCCAGCTCTACCCATCTCTAGACGTAGACGACCTAACTGGGGCGCCATTATAGTCCGTTATGCAAGACCCTGTTAATAGTTTACTGTGTGCTAATATGGTTTGGGACAATGTATGCATTCGTCTATACGCGAGATCATAATAGCCGATTCGCCGATCGATTTATCGATTCTATGGTATACATTTCTATGGATAAATAACCCGTTTTATGCATCAAGTAGTTGGGGTAATTTATTTTTATGTTTATAATTTAATTTTCTATATGTTTCATATACCGTAATTTTTATTTGAAATTAGAACTCCAACGAATAATGTTTATTTTTGGCACATTGTAACAAATTTGCTATTTCTTTTTGTAACTTGATTACTAGATTATTTAAAAATAGTACTAACGTAATAATTGGAAATGTCACCATACTCATTCTATGTGAAACGTTTTAAACGCAAGTTAGTCAAATCGTTTTGTAAGTGGCTAAAACGCTTATCGCGAAAAGCCAAGAGAAATAAGAAAAAAATAGACTATAGCAACATCACGCATTATCATAGACAAGTTTGGGCTTACACCGCGTTTACACTATTGTCGATTGTTTCGTCGAAACTTCGTGTGGAGTGGTTGAAACGCGTTCAGACATTCGTGCGATAGGCGATGCGACATTCGACACGCATGTGTAAACGGTCACTTCGCTATTCGCGTCGTGCATCGCATCGCCACTCATGCGATCGCGTCGTGAGTGGTATTTCGAGCACGAGTCAAAGGAGCTTAAAGCTTTTTTGTAAAGGTGTGCTTTTTTTTTTGAGAGAAAGTATACAAACTACAATCAATGGTAAATATAAACTCTTGGTATTTCATGACATGTATCCATATTATTTTCGTAAATATTTATACAATGCATTTTCAAAGTATACAAAAAAAGGTTATTGTAAATTCTCGGACGACACTCAAACGGGGTACTTATTACGGCCTTGTATATTAAACTGGACTGCGCAGTAAGTTAATAAAACGAGCCGAGTAAGAGGCTTTAAAGTAGTAATGCGTCTCTTTCATTCATGTTTCAGCCAGTCATATTGTTTTAACTTTTAATTTTTACAGAAAATGTGACCGTTTATGGATGACCAAAACTACTAATATTATTTTATAATTCAAATTAGTATACTTATTTGATATGCTACTTCATAATAGAAGGTTTTTTGACATATTTTTTTGTATTATTACAGTAAAAGCATATTACCTTTAGCTAATTTTATTTAACCAAAATTAAAAAAAGTTTATACACTAGACACTATCTAAGATGATTATATTTAGCCTTGGCAACTTGTAAGTCAAGGACAGACCACTACATCGAGCTATCTTACGTATCTCGGATTTTTTCTTTTATTTAAAATAAACCTTAACATAACCCAATAAGGTGTAAGTTATAGGCGCCTTGTCGTCGAGTTGCGGACACCAGCCCGTTACACCAAGTACCAAGGTGTAAGTTTCTTTGACAGATTTTTTTGCCTTTAAATATTGACATGTTTCTCTTTTATTTTTAACTTATTTTGTTTGTACTTGTAACTCTTTTATTTCTAAACATTTTGATCATTTCAATTATTGTTTTAATGTAATGAATTTTATTTTAATGTTTCTCTATTAATTATAATTAAGCATAATAGAACTGCATGATAAATTGTTTTGTGAACCTACATTTGCACGCCGATCATGGCAGAATAAGCTGGACATTGTACAATTTGAGACTTTGAACCTGTTAACCTTATTCCGACAAATAAATTAATTTGAATTTGAAATTTGAATTTGAAGTTTGTAATATTGGTATACCGAAGTGCGCTATCCAGTTTATGAAATATATAAATCCGTGTAATTATATTTGGTGTCAATTTCAATAGTAAAATCGTAGTTTTAAAAGTGGTTACATAATAATGATAAAATCACAAAAACCGAATAAGTGAACTAAGTTATTTAAGAGAAATTAAAAACAATCTATTTGAACTACAATAGAAAATATTACTGAGTATCCGATAATTAAACGAAGGCATGACTCAAATGACTTGTATCTAAGTCAAAACCATTAATAAAAAAAGGGACGAATAAGTGTTGCTACGTTGCCCAAGGAGCAAGTAGTTAAACTTTAAGTAAAAAAGTTGCTAGATTCCAAGAAATTAATTCTGGGTAAAATTGCCTAAAGTGGCTGAACAAAAACATAATTATGGGATTGCGTTTTTAAATACATATTTTTCTTAATTTTACAAATTATAAATCGAAAAAATAATTATCATCAATATCAATATTGTCAATCAAATCATTATCATCTTGTGATAGTGAAGGTTAAGCTTTATTTTCGTTACTTTCCAATTTTTTACTTTTCTTACTAAAAGAGTTAAAAGATTTAACTATCTAATATTTTGTTTTGTACCTAATAATTTCGTAAAGCTGAATAAATCTATATAACTAAAAACTGGCTACAGTGGCAACATTGCGAATAACTGTTTATAATGCGTTGGCTCAGTTCATAAGGAATAATGGTATTAAAATTTAGATTATTATTTATCCACTTAACATTATTTTCAGCTGTTACCATCTCATTTCCATTTCATGATTTCCATCCTTCATTGTTTAGATTTACCTATAATACTTACTATATATAATATATATATATACTTACTACCTAGGATAGGTATCTTGTTAATTACCGTACCAAAATTCCTTTTGCTTTTATTTTTATTCCGCGATTTCCTTTCCCCGTTTTTAAATTCCTATTAATATCCAAAACCTAATCGTATTAACATCAAAGTTCCACAACAATAACAACTGCGACGACAATGATATCCTGAAGTCTCAAGAAGGAAGACAGTTTTGGAAGAATTATCAAAAATTGGCAACTCAATCGAAATTGCATATGGCCATAGTGCCAGGAAATAAGAAAAAAAAAGGAACTTCGCGTCGCCACTCGTATCTAACTTCGCGACGCTACTCGTGCCTAACTTCGCGATAGCGATGTGACCGTTTACACATGCGTGTCGTGCATCGCATCGCCTAACGCACGAATGTGAGAACGCGGCATTAGATTTTAGAACGAACGAACTTTGACTTCAACTTGGCAAATATGGCGGCGAAGTAAACTCAAAATTTAATTTAATTTTTTGCTTAGGCAAAGTAAAATAAATAATAATTATTAATATTACAGGCTTCAAGACAGTGTACAAGAGCAAGAAAGGCGGGTTACGGTTTGCAGACCTACTGGAGAAAGTTTCCTCCGTCGACCCTGAGATGCGCATCAGGTTCACTGCAGCCCATCCTAAAGACTTTCCTGATGAAGTTAGAATTACATTTAGTTTCAGTTGCCATTTTACACTACCCTTTAAGAAAATGACTATTTTTACCGTGTTTGATAGACGGGTTAATCCCAAATAAGCTTCTATGTAATAAATTAATATGTCGTATATTAAAAAATCCAAGACTAAAAAAATATATATACTCAAGGACGTACATTTATAGAGGAACTCTAAAAAAAGGTTAAATTATGATAACAATGTTCCTATGAATCACTGGCCATATATTAGAATGTTTAATCAAAATGAAAAGAAGATTGCAGTCGTTCTTTTTTCAAATTAAACATTCTGTATTTATTATTTTTAAACCTCTTTGTAAGTGGCTGAAACGCTTGTCACGTAAAGCCAAGAGAAATAAGAAAAAAAAGTTGCTGCTCTGTGTTGCCATTGTATATTTTATGTGCAGTAATTAATATTTCATTCATTACCTCATTCATTCGTTCTGGACATATGGCCAGTGCGCAGTGGTTCATAGGAAGATTGTTATCATAATGTTACCTTTTTTTGACATTCCTCGAGATATGTCCATGAGTGTATAAATTTTATATTGGCTCAATGAATGGCGTATAAATATAGTATAAGCAAAATGTTTCAGTAAAATCTTCACATGCAGAGTGACAGAACAGATAATGCAAATTTGTATTGAATTTTGAAGCGTTTTTGCTCCTTTGCTAGTTTGAAACTACTTCACAGGTATTGCAAATAATCAAGGAGCGTCCGAACATCTGTAAAGCTCTGCACCTGCCCGCGCAGTCGGGCTCCACGGAAGTGCTGCAGCGTATGCGCAGGGGCTACTCCAGGGAGGCCTATTTGGACCTCGTACGGCATATAACAGATTCTATACCCGGGGGTGAGATGCTTAAAATTAATGTTACATTAATTGGAATAAGAAGCCCTTTACACTTTGTTCCACAAAGTAGAAATATTTTTAACTTAATTCCATCATTTTTTGTGTGGATTCCAGTTGGCCTGTCAACGGACATGATCTGTGGGTTCTGCGGCGAGACGGAGGAGGAATTCCAGGAGACCCTCTCGCTGATGGAGATTGTTGATTACAACATAGCGTTTCTCTTCCCTTACAGCATGCGAGAGGTCTGCGTTAACTTGGCAATATAATTTACTTTTCATGTTAAGTTATACTTCGTATTTCGCGTAATCCTAGACATAGACACACTATATAGACACGAACACAGCAAGACAAAACTACGCTAAAATCAGTTTACATACAAATAATTTATTTGACATATAATTACAATTAAAATTGGAGCAAAGATACAAAGTAGATAGTCTAGTGTGGTCTGTGATGTAGCGTCATGCCAACACGGGACTTAGCATAATATGCTGCAATAACTTACCACAGCACCGATTTTCAGTAAGCCCATGCTAAATCCAAATAGAATGGGATTATAGGGTTATTATACCCTGTCAGCGAAACTTTTACCTCGAAAATGCACGAACAACACGACCGCCTGCTCAAAACTTGACCTGGTATGATGTTAATAACTGTTTCAGTTTAATTTCAAAACAGAAGACAGACTTTAGTTCCCTCCTAGGCGACGACGGTAAGATCTCTGCTTAACGAGGGTTTAAATCCAACTATAAAAAGTAAACGGTTTTATGTAGCAGATCTCGGTTCGAAGCTTGAACATCGAGACTGGAGAAATTTCCAAAGATTATTTTAAATAAATCATCGTTTGTTATACAGGGTGATTTTTCCGTTTTGACGCTTATGCCAAACGGGCAGATTGCCAGATTAGCAAAATGCCAGATTCTCAAAATACCAAATGTCACGTCCAGCATTCGGCTGAAATAATGATGATAATGAAGCGAGATTCTGATGTTTTATTAATTTATTAAAACAAAATGTAGTTCTCTCTAACTACTAAATAACTGATCTTTCTATAATAAAGAATCTTGATAACTTTATAGCTTCTCAAAATTGACAATCTGTCATTTTGAGAATCTGACATTTTGCTAATCTAGCGTTCTGCTAATCGACATTCTGCCCGTTTGGCATTTTAGTTTTTTAATTTTATAAAGTGTCCAAACGGATGTTTCAAATACTAACAACCTCGCAAGGCCATATTATTACTAACATCATAAACACCAACTTTCGTTCCATGACTTTCAATAATTCATCAGAATTTACTTTCATGCTAAAATAAAAATATTTAATTCGATAGCTTTAAACAACGATAACTCTGATACCAATCCGCGATGCTGGTACAAAAATATCAATAAGAAGTACCCACTGCGTTTAACAGAGGTTATTTCAATATAATACGAGAATACTGTAATAAATCTTAACTGCCTCCGTGGCCGAACGGTTACCATGCCGGACTGCCACGCAGAGGTCCCAGGTTCGATTCCCGGGCCGGGAGAAATGTTTGTATGGCCTACATTTATTTCTCTCGTGAGTTTGGGTGTAATTTGTGGCTGTCTATATGTGTGTCCATGGCACCCGCGACACAGGGTTTCCCTAGTGCGGGGCTATGTTGAGTGTGTGCGTTATTTATATTTATTATATTATTAAATACTTTAATTTTTTCAAATTATATTTCAACCTGTAGGTAAAGCAATAATGTAACAACCCTACGCTCCGAGCGAACTGTAGTTATTAAGGCTCAATTTACATTACAGCGGAACGGAAGCGAATTTTTGTAACGAAATTGTACATAGCAAAATGAGTATTATGTCAATTGTGTAATAACAAGTTAGATACGTGCCAAAAATCGCGCGTCTTCCGATGAATTCTCGCGAAGTCGCGAGAAAGCTCGCTTATGCTTCAGTATTCGAAGCGAGGCGAAATTGACGCTTCCGTTCCATTACGTTCCGCGGCAATGTACATTGAGCCTTACGCGTCGAACAGGCGGGAAGTTACCCTACTTGCTCTTATTATACTATGCCATTAGCGAGAGGTCCTTTGTTAATAAATAGCGAAAAATATACGTAACTTAGAAAATAAAGTCGTAGGTATGCTACAACAAACGTTCTTCCACAGAAAACCACAGCCTACCGTCGGTATAAAGATGACGTCCCGGAAGAAGTGAAAAAGGACAGACATAACCGAATGATAGAAGTGTACAGAAGAAAATGCCAAATACTAAACGAAGCCGAAGTGGGCAACACACATCTTGTGCTAGTCGAAGGCGTTGTCAAAAAGACCGGACAGCTATTAGGAAGAAACGAGTTGTACTTGAAAGTGGTTTTCAATCAACAGGAAATTTTGTCTGAAGATAATGGCCAGCGGTTAATAAGGCCCGGTGATTATGTAGCTGTGAAAATAATAGGTGCAAAATCGTCTGTGTTTAGTGGTATGCCTTTGTACCATACGAGTATTAGTGATTTTTATAGAGACAGAACTTGGGGTGATCGAAGAGTTGTTACTTTGTAAATATATTAGAATAGAAATAAATATGAATCCTTTTGTTTTATTCAATTGCGGCTTGTATTATGGGCCTGGTACAGGTAAGATTTTTTGTTTGATTGCAATTTTCAAGCACAATTTTAGTTGAATGTTCACAATTAATTATTGTTATTTTGGGCTTTAACATTGACTTACAATTTATTTGTAAGTCAATGGGCTTTAAAGATTTTTCTAATTTCTATGTCTAATTGTTCATATACATATAAAAAAAAACGAATATATAGTTGGGACACTTCAGAAGTGCAATTTATTAGAATAGAAAAATTTAAAATCAGTACAAAAATCAATAATTCGTTATCCTAAGTACATAATAAATACAAAACATGAAACTGTGCAAGCTTAATGCAATAGTTATAGACTACAGTGCTAATGCTAGTTTTACACAAATAAAATTGTTAATAGACCATTTTACAAAGTTTAAGATTATGTTTCAAATGAGGTGTTAACCAATCGTTTGTGCTTTAATACGAAACAATCAATCACTGAGCTAAACCAAAACTGACAGTTTGTTTGGACGACTTTGATTGGATAGTTTTGAAAAAGTTCAAAATTCAAGATCCTTCTCACAAAAAGAAGCTGACAGTCATCTCATTGTGTGAGGAAAGTTGTGTCTGTAATGTATTAAAGAAACTACGTTAACACCTATGGCATCATTATTTTGTGTTTTATATAATATAAGTTTATATATTATATATATATATATTACTTAAATATATGTTGACCGTTTTTTTAATAGCTGTGTACATGATATTATTTTATTCATTTGTACTTCAAAACTAAAACTAAAGCGAGTGACTAAAGTAGAGTATTTTAGATACAATTAATGTCACAAAATGACTTAGATTCATAAAAGAGAATAAGATTTTTTTTACAAAAAGAAAGTACCTACGTACGTAAAATTTAAAATTATTTATAAAGTTTTTAGAAATTGAACACATTTAAAATATAAGTCTCTAAAACATGGTTATATCGTTTAATAATATTAGTAGCTAATCAGTTGATAATACACGTGAAGAAATAAATGTCTCACAGATGGTGCTACGACAAAAAAGTCGTTAAAAAAACAAAGATCTGCAACAAGCACATAGAAAAATTCATAACGTCCGCTAGTTCATAGACCTGTGTCGGTCGATCATTTTTGATAACCCGGGTCGATCATGATGCCATCACCATGCGTAATACGATCAAATAATTCGATCGTATGTTCGATATTTTAGCGGGTCACCGTCCCTCATGATACTTCCATACGGCGTTTAAAAGTATCAAATTATACAATTAGCTTTTATTATTTCCTGCTGATGGGTAATGTGTCTATAATTAAATGCATCATTGATAAACCACACTTAGGACACTAAAATTTCTTTCTAGGAAAAGTAACGGTGTTACAAAAGAAAACATAACAAAAAAATTTAATAGCGTTAAAAATTACTAATTTATTATTCATTAATATTTTAATATTAGCTAGTGCACTCATAAATAAATACAACATACCGAAAAACAGATTAAACTTACAAAATTGCCATGTAATGTACACTACGCCACGGAGCAATTAGGATGAATGATTGATAGATTCATTGATCCGTTAACCCATTGACCCGTTGACTCGTTGATCGGTTGCTTGACTTGGTTCGATCGAACGAAGGTTCTATCGAACGAATGCTCTATCGAACAAATGTTCGACCCAAACCAAGAGTGAGAAGGCGAACCGTGTCGCCGTTCACGTGAGAATGAACGAGACAACAATAATATTGTGAATTGTTGAATAATCTCTAAAATTATAGCGATAAAGTCGAATATTGCGCGCACGACCCATGAAACGATAAAATGATCGGGTTATTTAGAAGCTAGTAACCCGGGTTATCGGGTCACAGGTGCTGTTCAAATCATTTTGATTCGATCGATCACGATCGACACATGTCTACTACTTCGTGGCTTAGTTGGCATAGTGTCTGGCACGGTTTGCTGGAAGACGTTGGTTCGAATCTAACCGGATCGAAGGAATTTTTTGTCAGTGTCCGATCTTTATATTAATAATAATAACATACATAGAATTTACAATGTCGCTCGCATAATATATTTATTCCGTTCAAAAAATAGATTTACAATGCATAAATCCTGGCTGAGCTGCGACGACAGGTCCTGATTGGTCAGCTCAAGGTCATATCGCGCAACGCGATAAATTGCAGCAATATATTGCCAGAACTTGTGCATTGTGAATCCACTTTAAGAATTACAAAGCTTTTAACGCAGACTCAAACTAAACTTGAAGCACCAATCTGGCCATTCAAAGGTTTCCCGTTTGGCATAACATTCATTCTCTGCCCGGAAAGATTGTCGTCAACATTACCAGAAAGACTTGGTGATGGCCCTTGAGAACTTCCGTACACTTTCGTACTATATCCTGAATCATTATGAGACTCTCTGTCCGTTTGACTTTGAGTTTCGGTCAAATGAGTGTTGATGGCCAAAGACTGCAACCGGCTGTGAAGCAAGTTGTGATCAGCCGGTAAAGGTTTCCTCACTCCATGTGAATTTGGCTTAAAGTTAGGGTACATTGGTGCACGGTTATCGTAGTAACTACCGCGAAAGTGATCGTTTTGATTCGCAATCTCTATTTCCGTGTTCGGATCCAAGTGCTCACTATAGCAATGAGGTATTCGCTCCATTTCCCTCATTATGTGATCTTGCATCATCGCATCAAAAACTCCGGTTTGAAGGTGGTACAGAGGATTTCGATTCCGACCTTGTATCTGGTTCTGAGGTAAACCTGGTTCGTTATAATCGTACTGGTTTTGGCAGTATTGAGGTAACGGCAAACCGTTGTCAATCATTTCTGTGTACGGCATTTGATGGTGGACCTGCCTATTTGGAATCTCGTGAAAGTATGCGTCTTTCGGAATCATCGATCGTAAATCATGGGAATGGTTCTGGTTAGGCATCTGAGGAGCGGGGGATTGAGATTTTGTCGAGACTGTTTCAAAATTGGGCATTGGTAGAGTCTGAAGGAGGTTCGTGTTTCTCATTGGTCCGGGTTGGTTTGTACTTCTGATAGGATTGTCTTCTTCATCACTGCTTTCAGAATTGTTACCGTTGTCTTTTGGTGGGGTTTGAAAAGTTTTTCTCGTTGGGAACGGAATTAAGTTGTGCAGACTGAACCGCTTACTTTTTGGAGGTTTGTCTTTTAGTATAGGAGCCGGTCTTTGTGGCTGTTGAGGCATTTTTAATATTCCTGGACTCGGTTGGACTGGTTGAACTAAAGGGGGAGGTTTAGGGAATTCTTGAATATCGGTGGGTGGAACTTTACGAGGTAGAGGCATTGGCTCAGGAGACTGACACCTTTGTTGATGCTCAACTTGAGCAACCAATTCCTGTACAGATCTTCGAGGAGGACTTTCTACGTTACGTTCATTTCTTAACTGGTAATTCCCCTGTTTAGGCAGCTTTACGTAACCGTCTTGGGAAATATCCATGGACTTTTGGTTAGTTCTTGATATAATATTAGACATTTCTTTTTCGAGTTGAACTCTTTTTCTGATATCATCAGCTGTTCTCTGCAGGACCTGGCTTTTCCAATTTGGTATATTCTGGTTGGATCTAAGAATATGATCACCTTCTGAATCGCTGGCTTTAGACTGCCTGTTACTACCGCTAGGTGACTTAGCATTAGACTGTCGACTAGGCGAAGCAAATCTTTCGTTGTATCCCTGAACTTCCATTGCTGGTGGTGATTGGGATACAGAAATTGTATTAGATTTAACATGAATTTCTGCTGTGACGTTTTGAGAACAACCATGATCAGCGGGGCTTGCTGATGTTCTATGAGGTGATCGCGACATTCTACTTGGACCCGCGTCAAGCTGATCACTGCTTCTGGAGCTTGTTAGCAAATAATTTCGTCTTTGCGTTGGTGGTGATCTGCTATCTAACACTTCAGTGCTCTTCGAAGTGGCATTATTATCGTTCAAGTCTTTGGTATGAGTCTCGTAATGTTCAGAGTTTCGATTGAAATTCTTAATCAATCTATTCACTCTGTTCCATTCCTCAGTATGAGCGTCCAATATTTCTAAACTTCTTGTTCGTTTTAAGGGTGGGATGTCTAGGGAACCTTTTGGGCTGAAGTTCAATTTTCTCACTCTTTCGGATGCCCGGAACATCATGCCCCGAGTTAACCATTGTTCCAAGTGTTTGTGCCTTTCTTTACACATGGCTCTCTCCGCTGCTACAAATCTTGTTAATTCCGATATCTGTCCTTGAGTCTTCATTTCCAAATCTGTCACTTTTTGGTCTAACTTATCGTGAGCTTTGTCGATGTGCCTCTTTAGATCCTTTTTGTCTTCGTTTAGCTTGTCTTCCATATGTTTGAAGAATGGTGCGCAGTAACAAGTATAACCTGCGCCTATAGGACCTTTTTTGATGTTTCCAGCCAAATCTAAATAGTATTGCTCGCCTTTCTTTAATGGTTCGGTGGGAAGCGAGCTTAACTTTGGTTTTGGGAAAAATTTTGGGTCTGGATAATAATGGCATCCATAGGGAGACCATTGCACTGCAGGTGGCTGTTGTTCAAAGTGAACATTTTTCTTCTTTTTTTCCTTTCCTTTTTCCTTCTTTTTGGCAGTATCAGGTTCGTCTACAGTTCTTTCTTTGCTCTTGTCTCGTTTGTCTTTCTTTTTAGACTGTTTTGCGACTGGGGTGTTCAGAATGTTAATTATTTCTTCCAAGCCTTTTCTGGTCGCGATGTCTCTAGCTGTTTCGCCTTGCTGGTTGCGTAGGGCCTTATCGCAACCAGCTTCTAGAAGGATGCGTGTGAGTTTGCGTCTACCCATGGCTGCGGCGATGTGCAACGCCGTGTCGCCATTCTTGTTCTGTTCGGAGACGCGGCATTGCGCCGATATGAGGATGCGGGTGACGCCTGCGTGGCCATACCGAGCTGCTGTGTGAAGAGACGTGTCGCCATACTGGAAACAACACTAGATGTTAATAGGCTTATAACCTAGGCTGAAATATTTTCCAAAACGTAAGGTTTGAGTATTATCTTAATATCGCTTAGGGCTTGAGAAATAATAAGGAAATAGAATAAAGATGTCGTATAGGTGTACCTATAATACATTGCGAATAGGTGCTTACATTGTTTTGCAAATCCGGTGGCGCTCCAGCGAGCAGTATTTCCCGGCAGGACTGGTTGTGTCCATTCTGGCAGGCGAGGTGCAGCGGCACAAACCCACCGGCGTTGCGTAGGCGCAGGTCGGCGCCGCCCGCTGCCAGCAACGCCACGCAGCGGGAGTAGCCCTTCCATGCTGCTTCGTGCGCTGCCGTGTTGCCATGCTGAAAGGCAAAGGATATCGCTGATCGACTGTTGACAATGATGAGTTCCTCAAGAAGAAAATTAGGTTTCATCAAATTTTAAAAATAAACACAACACACAATTTTGAAAAGACGCGCTGCTGGCAAGTGAATATATTAACAATTTTGAACATAATAATATATAATATTAGGGGTTAAAGTATGAAATTGCCGTTTTATTGCAATAGGTTCTTTGAATTTTCATAGAATCTTCATGGTTTGAGGTTTTCGAATGAAACTTTTTTCAAATGGTTTCTGTGATTTTTTTTTTTAAATTTGAAACATTTGAATATCGACTTTCAATTGTTTTTGTTATTCAATTTAGACAAGAAAGGTGGATACTGCGAAAATTCGAGTGATTTTTGAATACGAGTTCCGACGCGGAACTAACGCGGCAGAAACAGCCCGCAATATCAATGCTGCGTTTGGAGAGGGGTCTACTAATGAACGCACCGTGCGATTTTGGTTTAAACGCTTTCGTGATGGAAATTTCGACTTAAAGAACGAGCCACGAGGAAGACCGCCCACACAGGTGAATAACGATGAATTAAGAGAGATAGTGGAAGCCGATCCTAGTCAAACTACCCAGGAATTAGCGGCATGGTTTAACGTTACCTTACCCACAATATTGACTCACTTGCGTCAAATCAATAAACTAAAAAAATATGAAAAATGGGTGCCTCATGATTTGACTGATCTGCAGAAAGAAACGCGTGTTGAAACTTGTGTTGCCTTGTTGAACCGGTACAGAAATGAAGGAATATTGGATCGAATTGTAACATGTGATGAAAAGTGGATTCTTTATGATAACCGGAAAAGAAAAATGCAATGGCTGACCCCAGGTCAAATGCCACAACAGTGTCCTAAAGCAAAACTTACCAATAAAAAGGTAATGGTAACTGTTTGGTGGTCTCAGCATGGTGTTATTCACTATAGTTTTCTCCGATCTGGTCAAGCAATAACGGCAGATGTCTGTTGTGCCGAACTCCGAACCATGTTGACAAAACTAGCAGTAAAACAGCCCCGACTCATGAATCGATCTTCACCATTATTGCTCCACGACAACGCGAGACCTCACACAGCACGAGAAACCATTTTGACCCTTCAGGAACTGCAGTTAGAAACCATTCGTCATCCTCCGTATTCACCGGACCTTGCTCCAACAGACTACCATTTTTTTCGTGATTTGGACAATTATCTACGTGACAAGAAGTTTTCTTCCCAGGAGGCAGTACAAAATGCTTTCACACTGTTTGTGCAGTCTAGATCGTCGGAGTTCTATCGCAAAGGCATTAATAACCTTCCCATTAGATGGCAGCAATGTATAGATAATAATGGCAACTATTTTGATTAAATAAATTTGTTAAAAATTTAAAAAATAAACAATTTAGATTTTCAGTACAAATCGGCAATTTCATACTTTAACCCCTATTATTATGCCGATATAATACATGATACATAATGCCGAATGTTTATAGAACTTTCCGGAAAATGAGTTACAGCGCTACCTAACTCACCACATGGTCTTGTTTGTTGGGGTCAGCGGCATGCTGCAAAAGCAGCTGCACTGCGTCGACGTGGCCGTCAGCTGCAGCACGCTGCAATGCGCTGCAGCCGTTCTGCAACAAGCAAAATTACAATGTATATAATATTGTGTTATCCTTTACCGTAAGTAACCTTCAATTCTTCAAGCTAATTCTGTAAATACAGAAGTGTTCCCACGATAAAAATAGCAAAGTAACTAGATACATCCAAGTTCTTTAATACAACACGTGTTTACAATAAGAAAACTCAGTTTATTAATGTTTTAATACATTTGTTAATAACACGAAAACATTTCATTGCAACCTGTTTCTACGCATAACATAAAGATTTGCTAATAGAATTGAAACTTTGTTGTTCAGACTTAAAGCAGCTTGTAGCTTAATAAAGGCTGGTATTGAACGCGACACAAATTGAGCCATCTATATCGTCTTAGGGACTTGTTTCTTGTTTATTGACCGATTTACTAGTCAATTATGGGGGCTGCAAATCTTTTTCAATGCTGTACGATAAATTTTATGGAAGTACGCTATGAATTAAACTATGTTATAATATTTAAGCGTATTTCCTTTGTGGTTGAGGGCATAAACGTGTCTACATTCATTATTCCGTCCATGGTATATACAAATATTGAGAAATTCTTAATTGACATTAACATTTTTGTAATATTAAGTTGATTGAATATCACGACATTTTACTATCATATTCAATTATTTTTTGTGAAATTACTCCACTAGTTTGTTAGAATTATTAATACAAAGATTCGCAACAGTAATAGCATTCGAACTAGCGTATTCGGCATGACGCTCTCCCAACTGAGCTACGGAACGAACCAGCAGACGTTACGAATTTTGCTATGTGCTTGTTGCAGATCTTTGTTTTTGGTTTTTAACTTCTTTTTTGCCGTAGCGCCATCTGTGAGACATCTATGAAAGTTTTTGTTCACTCAGGTTGGTGGTACCTTTACAGCTACCAGCGGCTGGGTAGAGATGTCATTTTAACTTTTAAGTTCATAGAATATTTTTATTTATTTATTTATTTATCTTATTGCTAGCATGTACAATTTGTGTAATACGATCTTAAAAATAGTCGCTGTTACGTACATACACCCTGTTGGGTATTGCAATATTATGTCATTTGTTCGCATGTAAAATTACTAATTATATTATACATTGTAGCAAATTATAAGTTAACATGCAGAAATCATCAACAACAATTAGAATACATTAAAATTTAAGATAGGTACAAATAAAAAATTAAATTACATTAAAATGAAATTCAAAATCTAAAATAATGTCAAAATGAAAATCTATAATTAAAATATTAATAACTATCGTTAAAAAACTCGTCAATGGAATAATAACATTTTTCGGCTAGTAAATTACGCAATTTTATATTGAAGGATTTGTCTTTCGATTCGTTTCTAATTGTGAGAGGAATTTTTTTATATATATTAATTGCTCTATAATACGGACCAGTTTTGAATATTTCCAACCTAGGTGTAGGAATATCACGATATTTTACTACAACGATATTCAATTTTGTGAAATTACTCCACTAGGTTGTTATAATCTGCCACGCTGAGACCCCGGGTAATTCTTTCGTGAGTTTGGATGTAGTATGTGGTTGTCTATGAATATGTCCATGGCACCCGCAATACAGGGTTTCCCTAGCGCGAGGCTAAGAATGTGCGTTAATTATTAATACAAAGCAAGCAGCAGTAGAGCTCCTTGTGAAAGAGTTTGTCCAGGGAAGTACTGCCGCCTTACCTATTTCTGCCGCCAAGCAGTAATGTTAGCATTACTGCATTCTAGTTTTGAAGGGTAGGGGTGCTGCTGGTGAAATTACAGGCACATGGGACTTGTCAGCTTATGTCTCAGGGTGACGTGCGTCCAGTGCCCCTCAGATCTTTGCGTTAAAAGCTCTGAGTGGCACTGCAACTATTATGGACAGGCGTGTAGGTTACCATAGGCTCACGACTTGTTCGCCCCGTCACTTGATATTATATATATAAAAAAAAGAAAAAGGTAAGAAGAAAGAGAAAAAGATCCTCCAATCCGGCTGGATTTGAACCAGCTATATACTCCCATAGTTAAGTATGACGTTTTGTACGTTACAAACAGTTAATCAATTATACGCGTGTTTAAGAATAAAATCGTATTACACGGCTGTTCAAGCACCGTTAGTTTTATCGTTTGCCCGTTGTGTAACATCAATAGTTCAACCTCGTTGTTGTTGATGAAATATTTGAAATATCTTTTGGTATCTTTGTGTAATGTGAACCTCTATCGCCTATGTTACACTTCCATATTTGTTTTAGGACTAGATTCTTCTGATTAGACTGAAATTACCTAAAACAGGATATCTACTTAGTAATGAAGTTGTTTATATTTATATTATTATTAGATATACTAGACAATATCATATACGTTGCTGCATTACATTTCGCATGTATGTGATCCAAAAAACAGAGGTGCAAAGTCGGCCTCGAACCTACGACCGTCAAACCGTTAGGTCATCACGCCACCTCTGATCCAATACGTACTAGGTGCTTGACACGTTCGCCGAGGGTTGTGAAACTTCTTCGACATACAGGTTGGCAGGAAGTACCTACTTACGTAACTTAGAACGGTGCCGCAGGGGTTAGAACCGTAAACCTCGCAATAGAAAACCAACCGTTCTCTTATTGGCCTATCACCGCTCTAATAACACATACCTTACAAAACATTATGCATATAATTCAATCATAAACAATTCATAATATTTACTTTGGTAATTCGATTTAGTATGATATGGTTCCTTCGACCGGTCGCCATGTTATCCATCATTTTTTTCCACACGACATGTCTCGAATGATTTTTAATTAAGTTCGTGGAAAGAACGGCTATAAAAACGTCAGCCAGTCATCTCTATGGTAATCGCTTGGTGCCCTTAAGCGACTAAGGTATGGGTTTATTTTTTGAAACTTTAAAGTGGGGATATTTAATCTTCTTCGATTGTTCAAAAAATTGAAACATTTTTGAGAGAGAAAAAAAATAATGAATTATTTGATGACCTCCGTCATGATCGAGTGGGCTTGCGCTGTGCGCACACCCGTTTTCGTAGTGTCGCCATCTTTGAGATACCGGGTTCGATCCCATTGTTTTTTCCGGAACTTATCACATTCTGTTAATTAAATATCTATAGTGTCATTGACTACGTATAGTGTTCAATTATAGTTATTTAATTAGTCAATTATTAAATACTGATGATACGTAATGGTCTATAAATTCTGTAGTTGTATGTTGTAATTAGAAGCACTTTTAGTGAAAGTTACTTCATAGATATATTAATGTGGTTACCAATTGCGCCGCTTGGTGTCACTGCTATTGAAGAATAGTTGGGAGGTTTTGTACAGATTTTGGACGGGGAACAAAAATTTGTCTTTTCGTGCTGTTGTGTGTAGTCGTGGAGAATAAATTGAATTCTAAGTACTACTGTGTTTTCCAACGCTTTTCCCCCTGACTTTTAATAAACGCATACAACTTGAAAAGCGCTGCTGGTGAGTCCTATTGGCACCGCTTTAGCATTTGCCATAGATTGTAATGTACCCAGGAGAGTAGTAGCCTCCGCAGCCTCCATACATCTTGCTTAGTAAGTTTAAAGTTCAAAGAAAGTTTAAAGAAGGATTCAAAATTTAAAAACGAGTGGTTAGGAACCGGAGAAAAGACGTTAAAAAGGTGGGATGACGACGTAAGGAGGTCACATCGTCACAAGCTTATACCCAGCCCTCCAGGCGGCTCATCGACACATATAGAACGTGCAATGAATCTCTGGCAGACCGATACATCCATTTTGCTTGCTATCATCCTTAGGATCTCTATCTTAGGATACATTTCAATAAGAAGTCGATATGTACAGTCAAAATTTAAACAAGACTATTATATAGGTGCGTAATTTAAATGAATAGGTACCATCACACAATACATGTTGTCTATGAGGTAGACACTAAGAGGAACTTTCTCGAAATTTATACATGTAGAACAATTTATACTAGAAACCAGTTAGAAAACACGTATGCCAATAGTCAATGAATTGACATTAATACACTCCCGCATCAAATGCTGTTAAATCACCCATTGTTCGAGCGATTTGTATGAAATTGTATGTGCGTCTTCCATTTTACCATAGATCACTACGTTTGTGCGGTAAGTAACGGTGACAGTGTTGCTACGAACACCGTGACTACAATCATGTAAATGTATGGACAGTTATACACGTAATGTTTCTTCGGAATTGTTTTGCTTTTGTAACTCACAAATCATTTTGAAACTTAAATCATACGACAGGCGTAATTTTAAAATTACGCCCCTTTCGGAGTGCAGAGATCTAATAGATATGGTTTTCCTTTATAAAATTATTCACAATACAGTTGACTATCCACAACTGCTTGGTAACTTAAACTTTAAGATTCCCGCCAGGATTTACATAAGGCTTTTTCACCCACCTCGTCGTAGAACAGTATTAGGTTCCAATTCCCCCATAGCTCGTATGTGTAATTTATATACTGACTGCTCCAAACATGCGGATATTTTCGTTGACTCACTGCTAGGTTTCAGAAACAAAATTCTTAATTTTCTTGGTTCGGGCGCATAGCATTCTTTATTATTTAGTATCTGAATCGTGTTGTATATTTTACTTATAAAAAAAGTCTACTTAAATTATTTCTTTTTTATTAGTTTTAAAATTATTTTTTACTTTTCCCCACTCTATTTAAACATTTTTCTTTTGCATGAGGTGCTCACCTATAATTAAGTAGACTAAGTTTTTTAAATGTATCAATACCTACATGAAATATTGTAGTAACTGTTGGCGAGCCTGATAAATAAATAAATAAGGGTGAAAAGATAGGTTTAACGAAAGTTTTTTTTTTACATTTACAACTAATTAACCTGCTTATAGTATTAGTATGATGAACAGACAAACATAGTACATAATTTGAAAGGCCCCGAAGACAGGGATTACTTGACGACTATGAGATACAAGGTCGAGTGAGCCTTTGTATGTATTACGCAAGTCCCGTTCCCGTCTCGGTATA